AGGCGCTCGGCTCCATGGGCGCGAGACAGATGTGCCCACCGAGCGTTCCTCTGTCACGGTGCCTGGGCTTCCCTGGGAATAAACATGAACGTGAGCGACTCGCAGAAGAGCCCTTCGTGCGCCTCCAGGAGTCGGCACAACAGGTACCAGCCTGTTGTGGCAGTGAAGAGCGAGCGCAGTTCCTTGTGTTTCCCAGCAAATCGCTTTCCTTCGAGTTCGGTGCAGATTTAGTTCAGTGCGAGCTCTGTGCAGCCTGCTGCTGAGAATCCCACCCGAACAGTCCGCTGGTGGGCAGGGGCAGGAGGGAGCGCAGCCTCCGCACGCCAAAACCCTTTTGAACCGTGAAAGCCGAGCAGGCGTGAAGCTCCCTCTGCTCTACTGCCCGAGCCCGGCTGACCTGCAAGTAGGGACAGGTAGGGGAGCGCTGGTGGGCACAGCTCAGGGGAAGAGTTGAAATGCTGGTGACCTAGACAGCGTTTCAAATGCCCTGCTCTAGCAGATGGATCTTCCACAGTAATGTCAACAAAGTCTCGCCCAACAGAACTATTTTGGCTGGCGAAGAAGTTGGCATAGCTTGGCTTCTGCCAAGTAAGCCAGGTGTGTATTGGTATGTTTTGGGTTTTTTTGCCCAGCTTTTCTGTGGCTGTGATCTCTGCAGGTTTGAGCACGCTTATGCTGCTCTTCACAGTTACACTAAACCTTTCTTTGCAACAAGTCCTTTGCTCCAAAGACCCAGTTCCCAGTCCTGCAGTTCTCGGCGCCGCCGTCCGGCACTGTTGGACATCCCAGGGCAGTCCATGAGGTTCTGCAGAGGGGCTGCAAACCCGTCCGTGTGCGTCAGGTGGCAGGAGCAGGACTTCAGTCATCACAGGTGAACAGATGTGCTGCCACCCTCTCCAGCCAGACCTGTCAGGAATGATCTAGAGGCAGCACGAGAAGCAATCGACGGGCGGTCACAGCAGCAGCCAGGCGACGTGTTCTCAGCTCCTACTGTTTGTTGCTCCAGCTTGGTGTGATTTTTGATGTTACTTAGTAGTAATGTTAAGTGTTACTGTGTGAATACTAGTAGCCACCAGAAATATAATTCATGGAAGACCTAAAGTGAAGTTTTAGTGGCAAAAATCTACTTCGTGATCCTCATCGTAGGCAGCCTCTTGTCAAACTGACTTCCGCTGGTCCTGTTGCTCTCCTACAGGTTAGCGACCCTTGCGTTTCACGTGACGGGAAGTTTTCTGACCAGTTTTTTGTTGCTGCGTTGCGTTTCGTTTGACTAGAATTGAAACTTCCTAATGAAGCCACTTAGTGTTCCTGGAGAAGCTTTCATTCCCTACCGTGCTACAACGTTACTGGCTGTTTTTATTAAATGAGTGCCTGTGTTTTGCACCAATATCATTGAGAACCTCCAACCCATCAATCTATGTAGCTGAATTGACTCTGCCTTTAAAAAAATAATTAACACCTCTGCTCTTTCCCCACCCTCAGTGAAAAAAAATAGTTCTAGTCACGCTCTGTTTTATACAGGCTCCTGTGGCTTATTATAAACTATTTTTTTTTAAGAGAGGTTTATTTTCTATCAGACCATTGCTGAGATGCAGCATAATATAGGAGGAAAAGGGAAGATGAGATTAGCCATAGAAGACTTTTACTCAGAAGCATGGATGAAGAATGACACAAGGAACAAAGACGCAGAAATAAAAGTTTACTCTGCTGCCCAAGATTTGAAATATTACTGTTGTAGTAGCACTGCTGGAAAACCCCGGATCTGTGTGGAGCTCTGTTAACAGCCTTTGGCTCTGTATTAGGAGACATCCAGCTTCTTTTCCCATAGCTGAAAGGTGAATGCTCTTGAGCATTCTCAGAAAATACCTGAACGCTTCTGAAGGACACAGCAAAGCGTTTAATTTGAAATGAAGTTTTTGCTGATGAATTACGGCTTTTACTCTGCAGATGCAGTTACTTGCTTTTGCTGTCAGCGGTGTCAGTTTATGCCCAACAAATGCGGTCGCGTGATCCCTCTCTTTACTGGACTCTGTGCAGTTGGTCTCGTGAAACCGCCCATGCAGGGCATTTCTGGCCTTTTCAAAGGTTTATAGGTACTGGCTTTTGTCTCTTGTGTCTTTTAAGACCTAAGACGCTCTCGCTCGTCATAACTACGAGGAATGTCCGTGTTTGTTACTTTGGAAACCATACCTGGTGAATCAGCGCTTCCCATCTTGCATTACTTTTGTTCATTCGTTTCATTTATTCACTTCTTTTTTTTTTCTCCATTAATCTGTTGAACACGGAGTGGCATGATGTGGCAAACATTGACCTCAAATTGATATTTTTCCTAGCCAATTGCAAGCAAAAGGTGCTAGAGGAGCGATGAGCCACATTACAGAAAGGGCTGTTTGGAAGCCACGTCTAACCCGATAAACACACTTTCCCTCCTGTCTTTTAAAAATAGAACATTTATTCTATTTTCAGTGGCACTGTAACTTTGTTATCAAATACTTTATGAACGGAGTTTGCTAAACAACAGCGTCACACCGCTGTCCTCCTTTACAGCTAAAATAGGTGCTCAGTGTCATAAAAGGATTGAAATTCCAGCTTGAATGTTCACCCGCCTGCCCTAGGAGAGCAGTTTTGTGGATGTTTCTTTAAAGAAAATTCATGGTAGTTTGCTTTGGAAAACAGTGAAAGAACAACTCCCCGCCCCAAAGTAATCGTTAATTGCTCAGAATATTGCAAAACGTAATGATACGTGGAAGTCTTTAAGTATTAGCCATAAATCACGGGATTATGAATAAGCCTTTGTTGTCACAGGCTTGCATGCAGCCATTCCAAAACGTCTGCCATTAGGATGCAGCAAGGCAGCTGTCAGCTGTTTTCTTGTAATGAAACAGCCAATGAGCAGCTAATTAAGACATATGTGTATACAGAAGTGGAAGTGGGTATGGTAATGAACTGTAGGAATCAATTCATTACATGAAAATTTGTCAAAAGCCCAAACGTGAGATCAGCATTTCAGTGGAGAGCGAGGCTGCGCGGGGCCGTGTGGGGCAGCAGGGAAGCAGAACTGGCTTTTCCCCCCCACGAAGGAGCAAGCTCAGGCACCAGCGCCTGTGATACCGAGCAGCAAAGTTATTGGAACTATTCACAGACTTTGCAAAAGCTGCCATTTGCATTTCAAAGTTCGTTTTTTAACAAGGTGTTGTTGCAGATGAAAAATTCTTGCGCCCTTTTCTCCCCCTCCTCCTGAACTTGATTTCTTGGCAGCGTATGAAAACCCAGCGATTGCGTTGGATGGATCAAGAGGAGTCTGAAACTCGGAGACGAAGCTCCAGCTTGTGATCTGCTCTGCTCCCCTCCTGGCACCGAGTTAAGGCGTCTTACACAGACAGGGAGACGCGCGGAGGAGCTCGGTGATGCCGCGTCAGACTGGGCTCAGGAGCCGTCGTTGGGGCGCTGCTGGAGCCAGCAGCAGTTTTGTTGGCGTGTTTGATGGCGGGGGTGTCCGCTCTGGCCCATCAGGCAGTGGGCTGAATGTGAAATCAGGGCTGGGGACACGCGTGCCATTAAAACCGCCTGGCCCGGGCTGGTTTGCTTAACGCTTGGATGTGTACGCCCTGCGTGCGCCCACCTCTTCCGTCCTGGTTGGAAAAAATTTGAGCTGGCTCCGTACCCCTGGCAAAAGCAAGGAAACAGAACAACAGAATATGATGTCCCTTCTTATTAAGGGGGGAAACAAACTAGGAAGGAACTATATTTACTTACCTAAGGCTTCTGTAATAGGGTTTTCCCCCATGTCTTACAATGATATGAGAGCCCAAGGACCGCCAAAAGCTATGAAAACTCACAAATAAATGCCAATGATATACAAGAACTTTGAAAGTAAAAAAAAAATACTCTTTAGTTTAACTTTGTTGTCAATTCAATCCTGAATCTCGGATACGTGTATCTCTGAGCTCTGGATGAGTTTACATTCAGTTTGAGGCAAAGTCTTTTTCTTTTTTTTTCTTTCTTTCTTTCTTTCTTTTTTACGTAGTTCCAGCTGATGTTTTCAACATGCCCACACAACATTGTAAGGTTTGTTTTGAAGAGCACTCTGCTACATCTCTGGTTTGTAAATGGCAAGTGCTTTTAGAGGCCCCCGTTTCAGGCAGCTCTGCTCTATTGAAAATTTAGCTTCAAGCTGTAACTTAGCTGATAGATCGTGCGCTAAAATGTATTGAGCAGCTGTGTCTCTAGGGAAAATCTGGAAGAGCAAAAAAGCCCCGTATTTTCTCCATTAGAATACTAAAAATAATCCTCAGCTTGACAAGACTAGTCTTAATAAAGAGAAAAAAGCCAAACCGGCAATACAGACTCCGTGCACGTCTCAGCTCAAGGAAGACATATCGATTTTTGAGGTTATTGTGCGACTAAACTGACTTTGGGGATCTTGGTGGTGGCGGATGATTTCCTACAGTTCCTGTGTGGGCACGGTGTTCGGTGCCACCGTCTAAGTGTTTGGAGAAGTGAAATTTTAAGGCGCTGGTAAGGCAGAGATGCAGTTCAACAAGTCACTGGTCCGGTCGAGACTTAATCCTGTTTTTCTGGTGAATGGCGTTACACTTGTGCGTGTACTTGCGCTCCAGGGTGCTAACAGAGCTGGAAATCCAGCTCTATCTACTTGCCTAAGAGTTGGTTCTTCCAGAGGGATCAATCATGATGTTGGAATGGTAGAAATTTCCATGATATTTCACGTTTTCTTTGCATCACATCTCAATATTTGCAGTACTTCCAGTCTCGATGATGAGCGTCTCGCTGCTGACAAACATCAAAAATCAGCTGGAAGCTCAATCATAGAGAAACGAAGATCAGAATAAAAGGGCAACAGAACAGTGTATGGGACAGCGGGATTACAGTTTCCTCATTTTTATTTTTTTTTATGTTCCATGTTTCTCCATTAAAGCTTTAATAAAAGGGTCATAATCGACCCAGACTGGACTCTCACCTGCTGCGCAGAAACCCCTCCTGTCATTTCACCGAGTGTCCAGACCGCGTGTGCACGTGCCGAAGCGCTCTAGAATGTGGCCTTCAAAGAAATCGAAAAATTGGGGAAAATCCAGCTTTTAATTAAAGGTTCCCAGCCTTTCTGAGGAAGTATTTTCTTTGCAGCACTGTTAATTAATCCATTATGTGGCAACATAAAGCTGAAATAATGCACCTGCTGATCTCTAATGCCGCTTTGGAATGACTACGTCTTCGCAGAATCCTTGTGAAGTCGGTATTACACACGCACCAGCTTCTGTTTGGGGCAGTCTGGGGCAAAAAAAAAAGATGGAACGCACTTCAAAGCCAAGAGCCGGCGTAGTGGTTGGTTACTAACACGCACCGTTCTGGTGGAGAGAGCAAAGCTGGAACTACTGCGTGACCTGCCAGGGCTCACGTTCTTTGGAGATGGGTCTGTACCCTTCGCAGTTGACTCAGGCAAGAGGTGATACATCAAGTCTGTTTTGGCTTCTCCCCTCCTTAAAAAAATCTACATCCTGTGGAATAGAGGGGGAAAAAAAAAAAAAGAAAAACAAAAGTGGAATAAACCGAATAAAACCTCAGTTGTCAGCATCAAACTAATCAAGAAAAAACATTTTTTAAAAATGTGGAAGGAACTGCTCCATATTTTTAAACGCACACCTACCTTAGCGCGGCTGAACCTCAGAACCTGCCGTTGCCACCTCCGAAGAGCAGAACATGGTGGCAGCTGTTGAGTTTTTCATTTGGAGGTCTGTGCTGTCCCAGGAGCGATAGGAAATCTAGGTCTATAATTAGTTTTATCTTCTTTGGAAAGAATTGATGTACCATATGTAATACAGGATCTGTAAAGTCACTGAAAAAACGTGTAATTCCTTTATGTGTCATAACAGGGGGAGGTTTTATGAACTGTTTCCTACTAGTTACTGGTTTTTGTTTGTTTCTAGGAGAGAGAAAAAAAAAAGCACCACAAAACCCTTAACTTCTTTGACTCTAGTGCCCTTGAACTTCATTTTCTGTTAGGTATGCCCCCTTCCAGCGGCTTTATTTGCTCCGCCACTTAACAGCTTCCTGACTTGGGTTTTGCAATTCTGTTGCAGGGCTTTTTCAGAAGGAGTCAGCAGAGCAACGCTACCTACTCCTGTCCTCGGCAGAAGAACTGTTTGATCGACCGAACTAGTCGAAACCGCTGCCAACACTGTCGGTTACAGAAATGCCTTGCTGTGGGGATGTCTCGAGATGGTAGGCTCCGCCAGCGCCTCGCGAAACGCAAAGCGGCGTTCCCTGTCCTGCGTGTTCAGATCATCCGTCGAGGTCCCTTCCAACCCCTAACGTTTTATGATTATTTAAAAGTTAATCGTGCATCAGGCTTACACTTCAGATCATCGGGTGGGGTTTTTTTTTAGCATGTTGCTGTATATTCACAGAAATGCGTATCAATCAGGGCATTCTTGAATTTATTTATTTTTTTCCTGCTCTTCTGCTGCAGTTCCCAGTAAAGAGCTTTGTCTGGAAGGTGCAGTTATTAGTGGAACATTAATAATTTCTTTGTGTTCATTCTAGTTTAAGTGACGACCTGTAGTTGCAGGTAGCGCTCTGCTCGCCCCATTGCTACAGATCTGAACTGTTTCACAATATATCGAGAAGTTTAAATGTGTGTATGATGAATGATGAAAAGAAACGCAAAGGGAAAACAGCACAGTGTTTCCTTCACATATAGAGTTCTGAAGAAAATGTGTTGCAGTGGTGTTAATATCAAGCTCAAAATTGCACCTAGTGCAATGACAAAAACCCACCTCTGCAAAGTGGGAGCTTATGTAACTCAATTAGAACTGGATTTGCAGCTGATCCTTGCACACCTCCCCCGGAGAAGTAACGAAGCTGCCATCGCTTACCCACTTTGAAGATCTGACTCAGTCTTTTCTCCTGCCGTGGTGACGGCAACACTACGTGTCCTACAAATACATATGCATTGCTCTGGGTACACGAGGCCCCATTAAGGAGATTGTTTTCGTTTCCTTCTCGAGTCGCCTTGTCTCAATTCTTTAGTTGTGCATGAAACGAAAAACCTGAAGTGGCTGATGATGTAACAACTAGTCCTGCCCACACGTTTGCTCTCCTCTAGAAGAGTACCAGGTGTAGGCACCTTCCGAAGCGGCGAGGTTTTCACAGCTGATGCAGGTCCCAGCTATAACATGCTGTGTTCTTAGGAATTCCCTGTTGCAAACCAGTTGCTTCTGGCATACCCATCGTTTTGTGGAGAGAGAAACGCACACATGCTCTTCTCGGTGGGGTTTGAATGCTGCCAGCTTCGGTGGACGTATGGTAGGAAATCTCTCTGCTATAGAAGTGGCAAGTTACTGAATTAAGCTAAAACAGTGACTCCTAACGGTCTGTTTAAGTAGCAGGTAGAAAGGGTGTTTTAAGGGGTAGCTGCCTGTAACTGACAGAAGTGATTCTCAGGTCTGCTCGTCCTGCTGATTTGCCTTTTTACCCCGTAGCGTTTAAAGACCCGAGGCAGCTCTGGGTTTGCAGCCATGTAATCTGTTGTGTGTCTGTATTTCAGCTGTAAAGTTTGGTCGAATGTCAAAAAAGCAGCGGGACAGCCTGTACGCGGAGGTGCAGAAACATCGAATGCAGCAGCAGCAGCGAGACCACCAGCAGCAACCCGGAGAGGCAGAACCACTAACGCCAACGTACAATATCACCACCAATGGGTTAACAGAGCTACATGACGACCTCAGTAATTACATTGATGGGCATACCCCTGAAGGTAGCAAAGCAGACTCTGCAGTTAGCAGCTTCTACTTAGACATACAGCCTTCTCCAGATCAGTCGGGTCTTGATATTAATGGAATCAAACCAGAACCAATATGTGACTACACACCAGCATCGGGCTTCTTCCCTTATTGTTCTTTTACAAATGGGGAGACCTCTCCAACTGTGTCCATGGCAGAATTAGGTAATGAGAGAGAAAAGCTTCCATTGTCATTGTCTTAATAGTACCCTTTGGATTAAAGTGACACGTTTGGCCAGGTGACGGCGAGAACGCCGCTTCACAACAGCCATGAGCGTGCCGGGGCGTTCTGCTGTGAAGTGCAAGACGTGCCTTACAGAACCGCGCTAAAAATCCCAGGGGGTTGCGGCTGGTCAGCTCTGGTAGTGTTGCTTTTGGTTTTGTCCTTGTCCCAGAACCCTCTGAATACTGATTAACAAGCTTAATTTTTAGTGCTGAGCAAACAGAGTATATATTTTTCTTTTTTTATTTGCAGATTATTTTTGCACATTTTACCTTCTTTTTCCGTTGCCTTAATACTCTGGCTTTCGAAGAAAAAGTGACAAGGCTGATTTTCTTCTGCTCTTTACCTGGGAAATACAAAGCCAAAGCACCAGTCTAATTTAATCTTAAGTATCTGGCCCTAGATACTTCAGAAAATTTTTGAATCTGTAAGTTTTGATAATTTCTCCTCAACCACTGGTAAGTGGTTGAGGAGAATCTGACCCCAGATACTTAAGAAAATTTTTGAATGTTGCCAAGT